GGTTAGTTTATGTAGATCACCCAATTTGATTGGTTAATTTATGTAGATCACCCAAATAAGAAAATTGAAAAATGGGTCGGTAAAATTGGTCCAAATTTTGGTAAAATTTAGCTGTGGCTTTGAGAATTTTCACTAGTGATGTATTTTACTTTATGCATAAAATCCTGTTGTACCACAGAGATTATATGATAAATGATCGATCTATACTCTACCCTTAATATTATCATTATTATACTATCAGTACTATATATTTCTGAATATAAACAACCCTTGAATATAAGCAACCTTCATTTTAAACTTCAAAAATGCTTTCAATACTAGGTTCTGAATATTAGCAACCAGATAAAATCATAATTAAAATTTTTATATCCATATAAGCAATCAACCAATTAAATGACCAAATTATACAACACAAATTTTAAAACAAAATACTGTATTATGTTTATTGAAGCATTATTTATTTATCTCTAATGTTATTATTTTCTTTGCTACTATTAACATCTTATTTTTTTTACTAAAACCTACAATAGTATCAAAATCTTATTTATTATGAACATTATTATCTAAGAATTCATAATTTCAAGGTTTTATCATATAAAGCTTCATTATTCAGAGTTTTATTATCCAGAGTTTCATTATCCAGGACTTTATAATTCAGAACTTTTTTATCCAGAGCTTCATTATCCAGAAATTCATTATCTGAAGCTTTATTATCCAGAGTTTTATAATTTAGAACTTCTTTATCTAGAGCTTTATTATCTGGGGTTTCATCATCCAGGACTTTATTCAGGACTTTATTATTTAAAACTTCAATATCCAAAACTTCAATGTTTAGTACTTCAACATCCAAAGCTTTATTATCTTGGGTTTCAACATTTAAGATTGCATCATTCAAGACTTCATTACTCAGGATTTCATCACCAGGGCAGATTTCATTATCCAAGATCCTATCACAGCAAATTTCATTATTCAAGATTTCATCACAATATATTTCATTATTCTCTGATCCATCTATAATATTAGAAATAGAGTACTTATAAAAAGCATGTTGAATAATATCAGGACTAATTTCTGCTTATACAGAAAGTATCTATTCGCATACGATATGTAGATCTGGACATTTCAAGTTTCTTGACTTGGTTTGTAAAATATTACTACTAGCCATCTATATATACTAATAATAATAAAGTACTACTTTAAAAAGGCGATTGATTGAAACATCAAGCAATTAGCATATAGACATCAAGCCACCAGGAATAACAGCAAGATCAATATTATTACTCTTGATTTTCTCTTTAATGATATCTGTAATATGTATTTTAAATAAATCATAAATAAGAAGAGTGGACTCATTTCTATAACTACCTGGTCGATATTTAGCATAGTTCTTAGCCCATAACAACATATTTGGTTCATTCATCTAACGCTTCTTGTAAAAGGATACAATTACACCAGATAGAGGAGAAGGCTTAGTTTGAGACCAACATTTACCTTTAAATATAACTATAGGAGGAAGCTTTTGACTATCTGCAAAACAGATTAGAACCACAGTAAATCAGTTTTTTTCATTTCTAGTTATGCGAATATATACTGTCTTGGCATCGATTTTTTCAACCGTAAGATCACCAGTTATATTGAACTATATAGGGGTTTCGTCTATATTTGCTATATAGCTTAAAGAATAATTTCTACTTTAGCATCATTATATTATATAATGTTGGAAGTTGAGGAGTTGTTGTTCAAGATCAGCAGGCATCTTTTGTTCAATTTTTGTTCTTTGATATAAAGTAAGCTTATCCCTTAAACTGTATTCCAGGCAAATTTGCCTGAAAAATTTAATTGTATTTAGTATTTTTTAAATAAAATAATA